GAGATTGTGCTTCTTCCGACAGCTTGCTCTGAGGAACTGGGACCGGTTTCTTGCAATGTTCACACACGGATTGGCCACTGCGTAGAATCACCAATTCTTCTAGGTGTTCTCAAATCAGAGTGACAAACTGCGCTGAGCTTATTGTTCAATGACAAATGAGTTTGCAGTATCCCGTCAACTTTTGTATGGACTCACTGTTTGACGGCTCCTTCTTTGGGTTGTCTGTTGCATCGTAATTTACAATACACTCTCTTTTATTGTTATTCTGTAACTTTGTTAGAAGTCAGAGAAGTAAGATTGGCTGAGAAGTCAAGCGAATGAACTTAACTGCAAATATTAGACGCAAAGAAAGCAGACTTCGCTTAGCCTGATGACAATTCCTCTTCATCCCTAAATAAATAGCGATAACGCCCAATGCTAAAAATAGCCGGCCTCATTCGACCGTACTGATCATGTGATAGACTAGCCTAGAAAAAGACCGTCTCATTGTGTCTAGCTCAGTGTACGCCACCCAGTAGTTCGTTCAGGCTGCTAGACTCAAACCTAGCCAAAGACTTCCTCCTGACGAACGATTTTTTGCCTAGTTGCACAACCAGTCAAATTTTCTGACAGACGCTGTTTGCACTAAGTCCATGGTATTAAAGTCAACACAACCCCACAAACCAAATCAGCATGACAGTCATGATTAAACACAGTGAGAGAGCGAGAGAGAGAGGGAGAATAGGGAGAACATGGTGGCTTAAGTGTGGAGATAAAGCGTGAAAAATCAGACTGCACGGATGCAGAAGAGAGCTGAAAAGCAACCTGCCCAAACAGCAGCCTGTTGGGTGTTTGGTCCTACATCTGGTTGGAGAGAACCGAACTCACCCCGGAAATAGTTCGTTTGCACTAAACAGATGTTTGTGCGCTAATGAAGTGACATAATGATTGGTTGTATGCAACGTTCCAATCCGTGTGCTTTTGAAAATCAAAACATTTTGAAAGAGGACTGTAGAAAACCGTACATTTGGAACAACACTAATTGTACACAAATTTTGCGTCACTTTATAAAATGCGTTTTTCGTCACACTTTCATGCTACTGCCGGAATTCAGGTGGAAATGTCTTCGTTGGTTTCCTGACAGTGCTTCAAATAGAACAAGATTAGAATCAGTATTCCACACTCTCATCACTGGTTGTAAAAGATGCAAAAAACAGGATCGATTTTCGAGTAATTGATCTAATTCACTCGAGGTTCACTGACAGAGTTTACTGATTAAACAACTGGACGGAAAATAATGCCTATTTCTTACGTGTTAGATCTGGAAGGGCATAGGTACTACACGTATAGTTACTACGGCCCAAAACGAGCCCAATATTTGATGTACTTGCACCGCTTGCCTGTTGGCATTTCAAAACTGATTAATATTTTTGTTATATTTCACAAAATTGCTCCAACTTGCCTACGATAGAGCCCAGTGTTGTGAGGAGTTGTCTTCTAATGTATGATCAACCCCCATGTCTATTTTGTCTACGCTGCTGTGTTTGAATAGAAAAAACATCAAGTTGCAAAAGAAGACGATGGAGTATGATGGCTAATCTGAGAAGCAAATCGAACCAGAAGGTTCCATGGACACATCCATAATAACTCTCTTTTTCTCTTCTTCAACTTTATCTATGTTCGGACTTCTGTTTTTGATGATATCGTTGTAGAAATTGTCATGAGGTCAGCGCTTACCGCATAATCATTCTTTCTTTTGTTATGAGCTGGTTTTTGACTCATGTGTTCCGCAATCTAACATCAGATTGCACGGAAGAGTAAAGCGTTTTTCGAGGAAGACCAAATTAAGACCAGTCTAAACCTTGCGAAAAGACCTCCTGTGTGACGTCCAACACGCAACTGAAATGTACACACGCTTAGGACATTTTTTCAACAGGTAAATACAAGTGACCCGTGGACTTTAGATGGATGGATGACTTGTTTAACTTGTTTTTAGTAGGTGATTCCACGTCCCACCTCTGAGACAAGGTATAGTCTTGGATTCCGACTTGTCCAGGGCTCTTGAGTGAGGTCGTCGAAACGGTTGTACATAATCTATCCCACTGGGCTGTCCGGGTTATCTAGAACAAATGCGTCTAGTTCGCGTGCTCAAAACCCGGCACAGTCAATACTGTGCAGAGCTGATGAGCTGTAATAAATGCACAGATGAAGTTTAGTTATTCCTTTTGATGTGCAACCGCTGTGTCTCGAAATTAAGACATCACAAACAAAACAATTCAGTATATAAAGCCAATGACTGCTTCGTGACGAGACAAATACTCGAGTTTTGGATGAACGGTGTCAGTTTCGCTCAGTCTGATTCGTGAATACGTGTAAAGAGACAAAGTGTCCCGGAACAAATTCATTTTGTCCTGTATATTTAAAGATCGGTTCCCGAGGGATATTTTACAATAACAGAGCTATTGTGTCCATCAGATGCATTTTATTAGCTTAGCTATGCAGTGTGAAATGTTTTAAGTCAAATTCCCAAAGTATTGAGATAAAAGCGCTGCTTTAGATGATTGGTATTCTCAAATGAATCGACCCCTAAAATTAACGATGTTTCAGGACTTGGATTTTTGAACAAGGTTAGACCGGATACCATTCTGTTACGAAGTAAAACGCTGTGTGAAGTGAAAAGCTGGGAGAACGGAAACAGAAACGGAAACGGAACGCACGATACATACACTTTTGTTCAAATAACCCGTCAGCTATTGAAACTGCCAGTTTTAAAATTCAACTTCAAAGGGTCACTGCACTCACTGAGGCACACCACTACCTAAGATCAATATGGATTGGAATACACAGGATTTTTAGAGAGAAAGACTGGATTTGCATGCAAACTCAAAAAGTATAGACCTGATGTTGTTACATAGATCAAAAGTAGAACTACACGTGCAGTTGGAATGAGGAGTAAATGCCTTTTGAACTGAAATTTGAGTTTAGTTTTGAAGTGAACACGAAACAGATGGACTAATTTTGAACTAAGTTTGTATGGTGTCAGTGATGGCACCGAATCCAAATTTCAAGCTAAGGGCAGGATCGGAGTTAATAAACCTTGGTGTTTGAAAATACTTTTTTCGTGAAGTTGGTGGGGGGTGATGATAGGTGACTTATGCTTGAAAAACTGGAAAGGTTTTCATGCGAGTCCTGACAAATGTAGCAAGTTTGAATTGAAACGCTAACCACTAGGTTTTCCGAAATCGATGCTCAAGTTCATCCTGTGCTCTAGCGTCATTAATGGCCCGTCTAGTTGAGACTCAATTAGTGGGGGGTGAAGGAAATGACAAAATAACCGTCTAGTGATAGGTGTTTAAATGGTCCGGAGTTGAAGAGATTTGGAGAATAACAAGAAAAGAAATAGGCAGAAGTAAAAGCTACATCACAGATGAGAGATTCAGCAAGGGGGCCAGATAAATCTCCTGCAAAAAAAATAACTTGGTACCCAGATGAGTGTATTTGGTTTTAAGTAGAACATGGAGTTCACAGAAACTCTGGAAATGCGCCAACCTGATGAGCCCCAAGAATGGCGAAAGTGATCGTGGGTTGTCTAAGAGTTGTCAGCAAACTTATAAGTTGTGCGTTACATCTATAAAAGCCACCTGTTTTTTGGTATGAACCGGAAGAACGTTTGCGTGCTGACACGCTTGAAATTTAATACAGCTCATAAAGGAATCGCCCCAAAGAGAAGGCTCTTCTAAGGACAGCTCGAGCTGTTCACCCTCACAGAAAATTATTCATCACGCACGCTCTAACTTCTGATAATATTAGCGGGGTTTGACTTCTTGGACAGCGATATAGTGAGTCTGCTATTAGTCGTGGCATTTGCTAGCTTGATTCTCGTACACACCTAGTTACAAATTTGGATTTACGTGCAGCGTCTATTCATTTATGTTTCCTGATTTTTTCTCCATACATTGAAGGCTAGTAACTAGCGTCGACCACGTTTACCCCCTCAACAGTCAATCCATCGTGTCGTAAGCCAGTATCGATTTCCCTGTACATTCGAAGTGACGAGGACGGCATTATCGGTTAGGTGTCTACATTTGCATACGTCTATATCATTGGACAGCTACCTCCTTGAACCTCGGGACTTCACACATGTGCGCTGTCTCACAACTTCAACGCTAGTCTGCTGACCCCTGTTCTCCAGAGAAACCTGAAGCGACTTCCAGTTGAAACAGAAAAGACAAGAGCACTTAGACATAAAAATAAAAGAGATAGAACTAAATTTTTAGCCGTAAACTTTAGAGTTGACAAAACTCAAGTTAAAAAAAGCAAAATGAAGTAATTCAAAGGTGAAACTGCGGGTTTTCACACAAGAGGATTTGTATTTGAGGACATGGATAAAGAAGTCTATGAGTAGTTTTACAGATGTAAACATATACACATATATTGTCTACATTGGCTTCCCTCTGTGTAAATACAACCACAGATATTTGATGCTCTCATAACGCTAAGAACGTTGTTATTTCTCCTAATAACTGAGCTTTTCTCTCTTTTGTGTTGACACTCAGACTCGTTAAAAGGAAACAAGACTTGAGGTTGCTCGAAATTTCACATAATAACTTTTTTAATTCAAGCAAAGATAAGGTTTGCCCAGACTTTCCCCCATTAATCTCATTGAAGGCTGAGAACCATTTCAAGCCATTTTGTAACCAAACACTTTTGGTTGTAAAGTGCTATCACTCTCACTATAGCTCATCGTAATTCTGAACTCTTGTTGCACGCAATTCCATCATGACTTGTTCGACGCTAAGATTTCCTGCGTACTAATCTTTGTAATAGTTCCACCTGTGGTTTCCCCTTTCTGACGAGATTTAAATCTGGTGAACACTCACCTTCACATATCGAATTTTTCAGAGATTTAGCGAGAGTAGTTCACGACTTTCACTACCTAAAGCTTCAAATTTAGATGAATGAAAACTCTATTGAACTCAGTGAAGCCTAAGTACTCAATCAAAAAGGCCTTGACGCGCTTTGCTTGTTATATTGAGAAATGAATAAACAGATTACTAGTTCAAAAATGTAAGCAGTAAGAACCAATATGTAAAATGCGGTTCGACCCAAACGCGGTAATTTGGGACTAAAAATTGACGTGAATATTGCTTTTAAATCTCCCACAATGCGGGGAAAAAAGGGTGGGTACACACTTTCTTTGGCGGCCGCAGTTGTTACGTCAGTGGTGTGTAGGACACGCCCGTTGATCGTTTGGAAAATATCATACTTGAATAATTCGTTGCTTTCTATTTGCTTTTCTTGTCCGTTGGAAAGAATTGTGTTCTGTGGTTGGCGCAATGAAGTTCTCAGTGCAATTCATCGTGTCTGACATGTGTGGCGCTGACTCAGAGAAGAGATTCTGGAAAATGTAACCAGTTTAAAATGCCACTTAAAAATGTAATCAAGTAATGACAGCAAACCTGATCAATCAATTCATAACATTTGAGGTTCAAGTAGAAAGACAGGCTACGAAAGTGCAAAACTCTACCTAACTAATGAACTCCAACAAAGACGAAACCGGTGGTGAGCCATCAGAGCGCTTCCAGCTACATTATAATGAACAGTGCATCCTGATGGAAACAAACCTTATAACATTCCATCCTATAAGAAATTTTCGGATGAGTTACTTTTGGATGTTCAGGCGTAGAATCAAGAAGGCCACTGTCGTTGGATACTGCTCCACGCAAACCCGCTGGATGTTCCGGAATCGGTATTCTTGCCAAAATGTAGGTCAAATTAGTTTGGGATTACTGCTTTGCAAATTCCAAAATGTTTTTGGAAAAGATTACGCCCTTCGGAGCAACTAATGAGTTTTACGTGAAAGTTCACCATTTATGAGCCATATAAACATTTCAAAGTGAAGCACACACATTATATTAGATATGCCAGCCTTGAATGAAACAGGTTACCCGGAACAACGTTTTGGTGATAGGATAATTCCATCTCAATTAGTCGTAAACACGCAACGTCACTCATTGGCCTCTACTCATATTCTCAAGGAAGCACGATACTAGTAACAAAATGGCATTATTATTCTTGGCGCACATGAGAGAAAAATGTCTACGTCTGATGAGCAGATAGCAGAGTTCAGTTGGTTATTTCTACAGGCCCAAAACTTCAGTGGCTAACCACTCGGATTTCGTGACAAGGTTTGTCGAACCACATATTGATTAGCCCGTGTAAGTCAATAAATTCCCTTTCTGTCAATATGGTGAAGGCCCCACTGCTTGACTATCAAATTTACCCGTCTAAATCCGATGACCCCCCCCCAACAGCAAGCCCAATTTTATCTCCGATCTATCCACCTATCTACTCGTGATTCGTCTGAAATGCTGGTGAACTTCCTCGGCTAGACATCCGGTCTTCTGCTGTCCTGCGTAATGTCCGGTCTTCCATTTACCATCTTTAGTAAGAACGAGTCCTGGCCATCGAAACTGTGGACTTCTGTACCAAGTGTTTCCACATTAATGGATTAAACGCGATGCTTGAGTTGGTGAACTTGATTCGAGCCACGTAGCCTTCGAGATTTGTCGGTGAGCTTGCTTCATTGATCTCCTTTTCTAGACCCATTACTTATGTTTTATAAGTAGCGAAAGGGTGAGGTGCCATAATCTGCCGTATACTCACAAAGTTGAGGTGAGAATTAAATAGATTATTATCCTCACCTTTATTATCTCGTGTCTAAACCCAACGAGGACCTCCTCGTTCAGTATTTTTCTGGCAAATATTTCATCCTCTTCTATGGCGAATGCAATTAGTATAGTTGACAGGATGTGCTGAAAATGGAAATTCAAGCGCAAAAAAGCAAACTCATATCTACTCTTCATAAAATCTGTATAGCCCATTCACAAACAACTGGGCTTAACCAGAAGTAAATTAGATTTTTAGATGAGTTTCAATAAATTTATCACAAATACATGAGGCCAACACTCGCCTCAGTCGGATGCATTCCGCGGATCAGTGAAAACAAAGAGAAGGTAACTAAAAGATATCAGTGCTCTGCTACACGGAATATTACATCGAAAAATAATATTGTTTGCTTCGTCAGAAAACTTCTTGTGTCCGATTTCTTTCCAAGACCCTTTCTGCTCTGTTTCTGGAAATTTGATTCTCAAGTTCAAGCAAATTTTTTGTGCAAAATTTTCACTGGCTTGCTAACGGGTCGGCCATCCCATGCACATCAGAGTCTTCTAAAGCTATGAAAGAAAAATGATTGAAGCCTAATCTGCTTTGTTGAAAATGACCACGCGTCGCTTTATTTCGCCCACAAATTCAGTTTTCTGAACAGTTCCAAAAATTCTTCCACGAACTGGAGCCCAAAGGAAATAAAACCGATTATATTTTGGCCATCTGGAGTGTGTAGTACCGTTGCCTGAGATGTATAAGTTGAAAGTTTGAATGTGATTGGTATTCGTATACTGCCAATTTGGTCTACTTTGTGCTATAAATTGAGCCAATCGACACACTGAAGTGGTCTTGATCAGGAGTCACTTGCTTCCTCAACCCCAAAATCCAGCATTTCTATTTTTTCATGTGTGGCAGCCTGCACTCAATTTATTTGTCGCGACTTACATTGCAGATGTAGGTTACGACATTTGTACCTCTGGCAAAATAACGTTTTGCTCAAGTGGATAGGTTCCGGTTGCTTATTTGAATCAAACAAGTTTGTGATTGAAACCGCATTCTTTCCATGATTCATCATCTGTTTTTCACAGGAGATGATAATTTGCACGATCAACCCAACGAATAGTCAAACTTCTATTTGAACTGAAGGTTGCTGTCACGTAATTCCAACAGTTTTTTACCCCGATATTTCAATGAGACCTTGCTCGTGATAGTCATCGTGGTCCGCAATTGGCTGCTCGCAGTTCAAACATAGTCACTCGATGGCCAAGCTTCGTGAATACAAGAGAACATAATGTTTGGGGGAGATAGATCCAAGAATCCACTCACCTGCGTGTTGGATATTGCAGTTGAGGCAACAAGGTAGCTTAGGATGAACATTCCAAGAAAAATGGCTGGAAATCCGAGAACCATCGGTGGTTTCTTAAATGTAATCAAGATAAAACATATTGAGTTATCTACCAGAATGGTCGGTTGATATAGAGTGGTTTCAAGTAGCTACAGAATGGTTAAACATGTATCCAGATCACTCTGTTTCAAACAGTTCTTATACTTGACATAAGCAGCGGCAGAATTTGAAATTTTGTTCCAGATGTGGTCTGCAATCACTGGCTGGGTGGGTTGGGATCTTCCTAGAGATCCCTCAGGTGGGCACTGTTAATGAATTTCACTGTGAATTAAACAGCTGGACAGTGTTTCAGGGCTCTTAAGCATAGGGTGGCTTCACTTAAAAGATGAAACCTGAGCCAAAACGTCTTACTCTTGTCCCAGAAGGTTGCTTTTGCTTTCTCCGAACCAGAGCACAGAGCTGAACATGAGTTTCTGCTCTCAGTAGAGCTATTCCGCAATGCACATCCGGGCGTTAAACTCTTGACATAATAATTCAAGTAGGGGTATCAAGAGGGAATCAAGTTCCAAGATGGAAAGTGCTATGCTGATTGACGGACTAATGGTTGACTGCCGATTCTTCAGGCTCAACCAGTTTTGTACTTTTCCATTAGTAAAACATTGGGGCTAACATGGAATTAGCTGAAAGGATGAAACGGTAGAATACATTCTTCAGAAAATTATTCATTCCTTCATATATCCATGCATATGTTCACATGACTGACACATCTGTTAATTAAAAATCACAAATTTCATCTTTCTTACCAACTCCAGTAAGCGTTATCTTAACGTCTCTCAAGTGCTTCTGATGATTTTATATGACGAAACGAAAACTGTACTTTTAATACGATTTTACTCCTTTGCAGAAAAGTATTCTGATCGCAGTTCTCACTAAGAACTGACCTACGATCCAGTTTGTTGAAGAAAACTGCACAAGACTAAGCCCAGAAAAAGCACATTTTCAGTTTCTCTCTCAAGAGGAATCATATAACCTAGTTCTAAGTATACTCAATAAATCATCCGCTACAACTGTTGGAGGTCCACCGATTCATGCTGTTTTCACATGCCAAATCCACCGGGACTGCCAGTCCTCAATGATTTAATCAAACAGGCAACTCTTCTGACAACCGCGGCCATTGTTACATTAGCTGGGTATGCGTGTACGTCTACTCATCCGATGTCGTCTGGTGATTTCGTTAGTGTGAATAATGTCTGCCGACTACGCCACCGGCGAGCACAATTTGACTAATCCGGTTGAAGTCATCTATTTCAACAGAAGTTGACAAAACTAGTGGGTCTGATCAGTCACCTGATTCACGGATAACCAGCTGGCCCTACTATACGAGAAAGTAATTAGGTCTATGCACCGTACAGACGTAACACATTACTAATAAGGTTTCTAAAACCTCTTCAACAACCCACGACCAGTTTCACTCTTCTTGAGGTTTGTCAGGCATATTCAGTTCCCGATTTTCCCTCAGCCTTATGTTCTACTCGAAGAAAAACATCATAAATTGGAGGTTCAACTGGGATTCGTTTGCGTCTCCCGTGAAAACCAGATTGGTATGCAGTTTATGTACTTTGCTAGTTGACAAAACTAGTGGGTCTGATCAGTCACCTGATTCACGGATAACCAGCTGGCCCTACTATACGAGAAAGTAATTAGGTCTATGCACCGTACAGACGTAACACATTACTAATAAGGTTTCTAAAACCTCTTCAACAACCCACGACCAGTTTCACTCTTCTTGAGGTTTGTCAGGCATATTCAGTTCCCGATTTTCCCTCAGCCTTATGTTCTACTCGAAGAAAAACATCATAAATTGGAGGTTCAACTGGGATTCGTTTGCGTCTCCCGTGAAAACCAGATTGGTATGCAGTTTATTGTACTTTGCTAAGATCGACACATCCCTGAAAATAATCCACTAGCACTACAGCTATCCACTTCTGACACCTAATGAAGAAGATCCCGCATGGGTGCCATCTCTAGAGATTAAATGATTCCACCTATGGTAAGAGCTTATTTGGTTCACGAGGTATCCACTTAGGCGTCCATTTCTTTGTAAAGAACAACAGCTAAGCCAAGTTGTTTGCTTTGTTCGTCATCGTGGTCATGTACGTAGCATCCGGATCACATCGAAGCAATCTGCAATCACAGATCACAAAAATCTGTGAATCCCGAAATGAAAAGCAGTTTACGGTACAATGATACTTCTAAGATAGAATAAACTAACAATCGTTGGATACCGTCTGATTCCTCAAACCCTTGTTTCAACTGCAAAACTTCCAAACTGCTACCCCTATATTGAAAGAGACAGAGACCACTATGGCGTTTTTCGCAAAAGTAACTTAAGTGTACACAACTATGGATGTGTAAACTGGATTATTTCCATCTATCCCACAAGCCTTTTAAGAATAAGCCAATGGAACTTCCTGATGGCTTTCAATGTGCGTTTTTGGTGTACAAGATTTGATTTACAGTACGGATTTCCTGCTTCTCAAGCTAGCTACCCGGCTTTCTCTACTGTGCTAGAACCGTTATCCTTAAGACCCAAGCTCATTGGGAAATATTCTGATAATTACTTATAGAAATGGGCACATCTGGTAAACTTCATACTCTGCGAATAAAAGGATATTTTGTGCACCCGGGTACTGAGGGTTGAAAAAAACGTCATCTCTAAATCGATTATTTGACCTAACCTCTTGGTACGGTGGCACTTTTTACGCGAAAACAAAAACGCCTTATGCCAACAGAGGAAAGCGGTCAGTTGGATTCACAGTGACTGGTCGTGCTGTCGAACGTACACCAACCGAGACAGCACAAGAGTATACTCCAGTATAAATACATATATAGGGTCTCGTTTCGTTACAAACTTCCACTTTTGGAAGCCTCATCAAATGAGCATTCAAGTGGAAACAGTAAGTATGGACGCCTACCTAATATGCATCCCAAGCCAGTCACCCAAAAAAAAATTGACCATCTACTTTGACTTCATTAAACAGCGCTGCTTAGTGGGCACTCAAGCGAACAGTTCTAGCAAGCAAGAGGACGTCCTATGTTATCTTGGTGCTAGTGGAGTAAGGTATCCGATAAACGTAATCGTATTTTGTTGACTGTGGACAGGTCCGCATTCGTCCACCGAACGTCAAGTTTGTTTCGTTGCGCGGTGCTCAAGACCACCACACTAAACATCAAGTGGTGTTTATGTTTACACTAAAACCGTAGTATTTGCTATCAGGTCATTGAGTTTGGGGATTGTCGGGGATTTTTCAAATGAAAAGGGTGGTGACATACCAGCTCCCACAGAGGCCGCAGTGGTGACATACCGGTTTATTCCCTGCGTAATTTTCCGGTTTTATGTGATGTCAGGTTGTCTACACCTTGACTACAGTCCACCTTTGAAATCCCTTATTTCGCACGCTGGTGCGTAAGTAGTTTCAACGAGTTTACTGCGAAATTGAACCGGGCGGCAAAACGGTATGCCGCATCGTATTTATAGCTACCCCGTCACCCACACACTTGACTGTTCAGCTCACAGTCGCTCACTGGATCACGAGACGTCTTCTTTCATATCCACGATCCACGTCACATTAAGGTGACTCATCAGACATCGATTGTCTGTATCGTCTAGTGAGCGTAGCAACTGCTCACGTGCTGACACGCCCACGTACACGCAAACCGACCTACATATGGGGAAGCCGAACACAATTAGCACGCACAGATTCGCGCGCGCAGGGAGCAGGAAGTCAACCTCTCCGCAAGCCCACGGACAATTATGGAACACGTGTAGCAGCTATACTGCGAAGAAAACACGTTCCCGCCGTCCGGACTCTCACCAAGGGACTCTCACATACGACAAGTTCCCTTGCTCCACATTTTATATTGCCTTTATTTTATACATGTTGCATATCGCTTCCGTAAACTACTGTCAAACTTGCTAAAATCTTTTATTAGTGCATACACCTGATTTGTGTTACGACCATCATCGAATATGCACTAATATATTTTGTTGTTTATCAATAAGCGTCCACGTGAATAACACCCTTAAAGATATTGTACTGACTTGGCGAAGGGAACGGAATCCGGAAGTCGTCCCAGTGACCAGGGCCATTGGGGAGGGCGTTTGCGAGACCGCTTGGTGCGGTGTGAAGAAAGTGCAGTCGAGGTTATTTTAGCCAATCGGGCGAACAATGCAATAACCTCTTCAGCACTCCACAGTGACTGTTCTCCCAAATGAACACCAGACAACCGCACCAGCCAATCGATTGATCTTTCGAGAGATCAAATCGTCAGCAATACTGTTTGAGTGACCCCGTGCAACCTGCAATCAGCACACAGAGAATGGGCGTCTCAGTGACCAAAGTAAAGCGCCAGGCTTGTCGTACTAACCAGCTGGTGCTCTGTCTGACCTTCATTCATTTGAATGCGCGCGAGATCAGCGCTGTTTGAGTAGTATGTTTCCCTCCAATGGACCCATGGTAAAAGGTCCCATTGAACTCACATAACCATCCGACCCTGGTATTAAATCTAAGCATTCCTATTTTGAACGCAGGTGTTGCGGATGTCGGGCAGGGAATGTATTTTCCTGTAAATGGCACAAATGTCATGCTGAGTTTTTATTCCCAGCCGAACCGAGACCTAAATTCTAAGCACATCCTGAACCAGTCGACGCCATTTTTCTTCAACCTCTGAGTTTGAGGAAGATTTCGCACCCACCCCTCTCATCCGGTCAACCGCCAAACTGAAAGTGCGCGCAGACAAGTTGCTGTTTCTTGAAAGATTATTTACTGAGAAGAATATCTGTACAAATAAAAGAGCCTCTCTTCACCTTGCTTTTCGTAGGCGGTTGTTTGGTCATTCTATCGATGCTAATCCAACCAAAAACTATCTCCCAAAAAAACATTTACGTTCACATGCAAAGGTGCAACTGTCAAACCTAAGAAAGGTTTTTCAGACAGAAGCCTTACTTACCACAGGAAAATACAACAGTCCAAAGCATGTGCCGAGCAGAGCGCACCCCAGTTTGGCAAGGCTGAAAAGTAACTGCGGCCAGCGCACCAGTTCGACCAAACCAGTGGAGAATAGATGGTCACAAAAACCCCGGCTGAGCAACGTCCAGGATTTGGAGAAAGAGTGTTGCTCTTCAACTGAAATGGTTTTGAAGATGGAGGCGTGAAATATAAGTAGGTCAAGTAACAATGATGTCCTGGAGCATAAACTTTCCCAGTCATAAAAACGCCTTAACCAAGGCTTTCAGATGGAAGACAACCTGCCGTCCGGAACCCAGTTGATTTAGAAGTGCGATTTTTATCCATAATGTGGAGTATACTGGCACTGCTTAAAATAAGTGATTGTAGCGGCCAGTATAAACTAGCGCGAACTAGCTCACCAAGAAGCGTCTGCCAACTCTTTCTAGACTCAAATTTTTCGGCACGTTCCAGGACTTTCATCCGCCCACTTTCATCTGCCCACTAGATATGAATAACCATGACTGGCTCTTAAGAGGGTAAATCCAGCAACTTCATTCAGTTTTTCACGTTAACCCTTCTAAAATGACATTAAAGGCCTGCCTACCCGGTCGAAAATTGGAAAATCGGCTAAGTGGTGAGGTCTATCCACCTGACTCAACCAGAGGACTTAAAGATATTTGTCACAGTCTGTGGTCAATAAGAGATTTTGTGGTAACTCGACCCCTGCTACTGGATACAAACTTATTAGATCTGTCCATATCACTACACTTTAAGACGGCCACTCTCAGAAGGCTCAAGTCAGTTCCTCCTCTTGTTAACCATTTTCCTCGGTTTACATGCAGTGAGCCCACAGCAACTTGAAACAATCCACACAAAGTTAAAAATCGAAATCCTGTGTAACGATCTTTAGAGAACAAAAAACATTAGATGATGGAGTAGCAGCAGAGGGGCACTAGAATAACTCAATGCTGGAAGTTGAAGAGTTAGCAAAGGACGCAATCGCACAAAAAGGCTAAAAATTCAGCTAATCATCACAAGTTCTGTTAGGCTTTCTAACTGTTTTCAGACCCATTTATTGGAAGTTCGATCTTCAAATGCATATCAAGGCTTATGTTGTGGAAACAAGCACGATAAGCAGCTCTCTGGCCAAGAAATATACAAAAAACTAGTGTTTTAAAGAAACACACTCATTTGCAAATTAATTTTGCGAGAGACTCACCTGAAAACCAGCTGAATCTCTCGTTTGTGATGTTTCCAGGCAACTAAATGTGCTGCACCAGCCCGCCTCATGTTTCAGTCGCTACGATACAGGTATACTTGTAATGCACTACTCGTAAGGTTTGTGAAAATTTATCGACAGCCCACGACCGGTTTCGTCCTTTTTTGGGCTCGTCAGGTAGGCGTAGTTCCCGAGTTTCCGCCAACCTGATGTTCTACTTGAAACTAAATTGCACGAAATTAGCGAAATACACCCATTCGCAAATTAATTTGGTTTTGCGGGAGACTCACCTGGAACCCAGCTGAATCTCCCGTTTGTGTTTTAAATTTGAACTGACAACAGCCCAAGTGGGATGATTTAGACCATCCAGGCCTGTACGTGAAACCTTAAAAACTAAAATTTATAAGTTTATCGCATTAGTCCAAAATGCATCTGTACGGTATTCTGTGAAAAACCTACAATGGTTGCTAAACTAATGAATAAACCTTGTTACCTGATACCCCTCCACACCCTCTCTGGTAAAAGTTCACTCCAACCTGCCTTTGGAAAAGCCGTTCTTGTGTTCGTCAAATGATGACACCTAACACTTTAATTCAATTAGACTACCTTGGGAAATTTTCCGGAATTTAATCATGTAAACGTACTTTAGCATCAGTTATTTCCTCACTTTCCGGTTTCAAAGTTTCTGCTTACAATACCCACAGTATACAGTAGTGTCTGTAGAAGAGTACCCCAGAAAAACTGCTTTCGCGCTCCTTCGATTCTTTTTGTTTAACTTGCAGAACCTTTGCTTTTTTGTGAAAATTGAATCAACATTTCCTATAACGTTCGATGAATTACATAGCCTTACTGCCTTCTGCTCTTGTTTGCTTCTTACACCGCATCCTACAGATTTTGCCAACGTGCGACGCAAAGATTCGGTAAAGTTCATCTAACCTTGAAACGTAACCCCAGTCTGCATTCCAAAACCTGGCATTTTCCAGACTTTTAAAGTTCTTGTAATGCAAGCCGGGAGTGAAACAGTTGGCGAGATATTTTATCGAATCAACCCGCTTGTCTGATTTGATTCGAACCAAGACGGAAAATGCTGGATACATGAGGCTTCTTGTGCAGTTCCATGTGCTTGATGCTCAATTTACTGGTCTGGGGTATGAATCCCAAAAACAAAATGTGCGGTAGCAATATTTTCGTAAATGAGAAGTTAAGCAATGGGATACGGAAATAAAATAGCCCACAATTTGTCTAGGACGTAGATGTAATGCTGCCCGTCAGACGGAAACATCCAAAAGCCACTGCAGTGACGTCTAATTTAAAACAATCGGTCGGTGCACAGCAATCTCATGCATAGAAGCGATCTGATTTGAGCAGCTGGAGCGTTCTCAAGAGAACTTATCCAAACCACAATCTGTTTTTTGGTTCCAACAGAGAGTGTCTAAAAAGGTTGTTATTGGGGAATGAAAAGGTTTATTGGACAATGAATAGATCCACGGGTAAAAATCCGATATTGCTTGTGCTGCATGTGAATGGACTACTTAACAGTGTCCATTAACACTCACAATAATTCGTCTGGTATAATCTCTGAGTGATACGGACAGGCTGTTTTGTACTTCACAACTGATTTGCTGGTAACTGTCTTGGCAACTGTGTCCACCAGCTCTCTGTATCACGAAGATGTGATACAGCATTCTAACAGATACTTTCTAGTAAACATTGTTGTGCACCCCTCGCCCTAGATCACAGCGGATAGCTGCTATGAAAGTCCATCCCTGAATAAGCCAATGGAATTAATGAGACTGTTCGGTGTCGTTCTGATAGAATCACTTGCATGTCTTACAGAAGTGCTTGGGACGATGAGGATGGACCAGCTGAAGATCACACATTTAAACCGGGTTTATTTTTTGGGATTTTATTAATAATGGTGGTTTACTGATACGGAATATGTGGGATCGAAACGGATGTTTAATCTCATCCCCAAAATAGTGATAAAGGGGAACCTTCTATAGAAACTAAAACATTTTGGTGGTGCAGATGCAGAACGAAACGCATCTTTTTGTTCAAAATTTAAATTCCTATAAACAGAAGGCCTTAGATCCCGCATTCTGCCTTCTGGCAACTCGTTAGAAAATAACTATTGTTATGATGGCTCAAGGTTTCCTTCTGACTAACGAGCATTTAATAGTAGTACAATGAAAAGCACCTCTTAGTAGGTGGTACACAACAGATTGGGGTCATATGGAGTAATGCTTTGAGGGGACGCCAACCTTCCTGTGTTTACCTACGGGAAGACAGCCTACACTAATATACCAAAACTGTAGTGGCCATGGCTGACTGACACCACTGGCATCTCTGTTTTCTACCCTGAGACCATATTCATATTCAAAATGCTTTTGCAATGTGCATCCAACTAAACGATACGAAACCAAACTTACTGTACTTCATGGGATATGCTCGCAATACGGCTTTACCTAGGCAACAAACACGAATGGATAAGCTCCCCCATATTAACGCCAACTATTTTTTCGCAGCGGCTGTCACATGGCCCAACTGAGCTGCTGTACAGTTAGCAGTTTTACTTCCCTGTAATTGCTTTCCCTAAACAATGTATATTCTGCGGTTGTTAATTAAATTGCATGGTTGCGCCAAATCCCCGTTAATCGTTCTGGACGACGGGACTTAGAGACAACGTGGTCCAAATAGAGGTAATCACTGTTGACAGGAAACAGACATAAACGAGAAAGACATTGATTTATTATGGGAAAACCAGGTGTTACCTTACCTAACATCAGAAACCGTTCATAGTTCCTAAGGCCGTCAGTTACCATGTCGTAACCGGGCGACCAGAAACGTTTGGCAACAATAAAGTTGCCAACCATTGAAGTACGAGAGCCTCATTTATCGTTGCAAATTTGGCGCTTTGATATTTGCTCTCAATAAGTGCCTCCAGGTATCCGACCGAATTCGGCTGAATGGGACTGGGCTGAGTAAATATTTAACGTATTATGTCGAGAAGTGTCACAAACATCCCTCAATGTGTGTGGATGGGATTCGTTTTGTTTTTCCTGATAAACTGAATCAGATTCTTTACTATCCACTATTCTTCTTTGTCATGGATGCATTGGAAGGACTTTAATCTCCATTCCAGGTTGCAAAATCGCCATCCTCCTTGGACTAAATGGTTAATTTGGTTTAAAAATATCTACGGCATATAGACAAGAAGAAAAAAGAAAATTGTCATTTTTTATTGAACAAAATATTTTTCCTTCATTTATCAGTGCTCTGATCGATCGATGGGTTGACGGCTCAATAGTTTGAATATTAATGATTCCGTTCCCGTGATTCCAAAAACCAGTAATCCATTTTTTTATTCAATTTGAAAGCGATACTGAGTTTTGGCGGTACTGGAGTAGCTATCATTGCCACTTATTTTCACCAGCGGGCAGAGGGGTTGGGAATTCAGTCAGGACACAGTGCTCCACCAGGAAGACATAACACGCCCCACACTTCACATCGTACGAAACTAATGGCTGTTGAACTTTTCATCCTGATCTCAGTATGTTTAAAAATCACCGTAGGACAGAGTATCACGAAAAGTGTGAATAGGTGGAAAAGTCCTGTGCCTTAAACTAAACAGAAAGTGTCATCTAGACTCTCTGTAGGACACTTCAAGTTGGTTTTCGGAAGTTTCAAGACAGAAATTGATTATCATAATGCACTTCTCTTCTTCCGCAGCACTGAATTTCTACATTTTCTTTTATGTCGGTTTATTAAATGTACATCCCTGTTTCTGCCAGTTCTTATTGGCTGACCTGTGAATATCGCCTCATCGCATTCATCAGTGAATGTATAACAAAAAACTACGCGTATAATTGGCAGTATTCACGCTGGGCTGTTCTGGTGCCTTAGCCATCTCAAACTTGTCGAAGTAGGATGTCGTGGAAACACACCCAGGTGGTGTTTTCCCAAAATTCGTCGGACAAAGTTGGTCTGGAACGTGCAAAACTGTTGCTTCTTGCTTACCTATGAGTGTGAACACACCAGACTCCAACTGACGCAACCGATGTTCTATCCTCCACCACATGTTCCCGGTACACCGTTCTTTGCGGTTTTCCAACACCTCAGAGTCATCCAACGGCCAACTGACCAGAAGTACTTTGAGTATTGCGAGAATCTGGAAAGGAAGGCACATTGAGATGGACAGCAACGAAGCCAAGCTCAAGCTCCCCAATGCTTGTTGACATATCCTTTGGTAAATTCCGCCAAGGATAGATCGTAATGGACATGGTGCACTAGCGGCAGGAGAATGATACCTGAAACCAAAGAGAGACTCAGGCTCACGGTCTGCAAATTAATAAACACGGAAACCACAAGATACAACACAATAAAGAGGCCATTGCGCCACAAATACATCAAAAAGAGATCTGAATACGTCATCAGAGTTAGTGAAAATTGGAATGAAAATCGGAATGCTCTAGGAAGGTTCGGTCAGCCCTTCTCCCTGAAAATTACCTCATACTTCAATTTAGTGGACCGCCAGAATAGTTAAATTGGCGTGGCGAAAGATCCCCTCCCGCCAGTGAAATGAGTATAAGCGAGTACAGTGTTTTGTCTGCTATCATTAAACTAAAGAATCTTCGCCAATTTTATTCCAGGTTACACGCTCCCGGAAATCAATATCCCAGGGGTTCGTTGAGCTAGACAACTTTGCCAATATCCTTGACATCACCCGTAAGGAGTACAAACAGACGACTTTACCTTAGCTGCTGACGAAACTTTAGAAATGGAACTTCTCAGCTCAGCGCACACAAAAATAGCCATCCATACAACCTGAGTTACCAATGTTCCGCCCAATAAAAATCCTGGGAACCTGTTTATACACAGATGACTCATCAGTGACAATGTGAAGTTTGATTAACGTGAACCAGGGACACATAAAAAACAGAGATTTTGATTTATGACGTAGCTGCTGAGATATACTTTTGTGCAGAGAGATAGTATAGGACCATGAATTGGTCTGATATCGCTGTTAGGAAAAATAGGACTTTGTGTGCTGAATAAGTGCTGTGTGTGAGTTGAACTAATTTACTTGTAGAAACTGGCCTACGTCAAGATAGAATAGTCAGTGCTCAATTGATCTAAACATTCTCATTATTGTGTTGGGAGCAGGTAAATTATTACTCTATTCGGACGGCCCCACTATGACTTATAGATAACTTTTCTACCCAAGAAAAACACCTGAAGCGATACTCATTTTACTGGTGGCCTACTGAGGTACGGTCACTTCAATGGAAAAATGTAGGTTTGGGGCTGCCCAGACACCCACCTGATGAATAAATCTGCGTGTTTTTATCATTTCGGTAACGAGCCTTAGTGTTCCGAGGTGCAAGTGTGTCAAAACTGATGTTTATTACTGGTGCTTTTGACTTTTACTCTTCAAGCATGGACAGCTAAATCAATTCTTAGTAGCTGGGTGTTTTCGAGAGACCAACAAAAGGACATTTGCTGACTGCTCGTCTGCTAACAGAACTCTGCCCCGTCGACCATTCTCACTTCCATTCGTGGGTGCCTTTTTGTTTATTTAGTTCAGCTACTAATGAGCAACAAGTAAGCGTCACAAAATTGAAAGATCATGGTAAGTAACGCTATCAGATTTGAGGGCATTATTCGTAGGACCAAACAGACCGCTGTTTCATCCGAGGAAATCACTTCGGATAGTTTCATATGGCCTCTTACATAGCAACCTTATCAAGCCGGCGTAAAATAAAACCAGTGAAAGATCAGCAACTTCCTGAAGCTGCCAGTTGGCTAGACTGCCTTAAAGCGAGTGAATAACGCGGAGGAATGCACTACCTTTATGTAGCGGTTCAACCCAGGGTTTCGAAAGCCTAATGGTCGCATCGAATCCAATCTCCTCTGAGGGTGACTGCACACACTGATATCACATTTGTTGTTCACAATGGAGCTAGTTCCAGAAAAACTAACTAGCTTCGTACTTCGAAGTACTTGAGAGGACAAAAAGTGACCAGAATAAAACAAGCTATGAAAATTTTACTTCCAGACATCATCACCTCCCTTTAAGGCAACAAACCAGTCGCCACTAAATGCCCAGTTAGTGCGCCAAAAAGAATACAATTTTGTACTTCTCAAGTTATTTGACTTTGAATAAACTTCCATTGACGTCAACCAGTTGTTTGCCTTCAACCGCCTTCGTCTGCCTGACGTTTTGTTACTGTCATCGCCCGGCTCATCGGCAGTGACAACGACGTCTTCCTATTACAACTGTTCTACTTCCCGGCGGCCAATTCAGAGTTTGTTTGCAAAGTATTTAAGATTCGTCTTTGGGTGTGGAGCAATTTAGGGCGTTTTCCAAGTATAGACAACTAGTAGTGAGTCATTTCAGTTCAACCTGATTGTCCGTCTGTGATAACGGTCCAATCAACTGACAGCATGCACTGCTACTGAGAAACGCCCACACAAATCAAAGGCCGATTTATGTGAGGTCAGACAACTGCGCTTCTGTTAACTGACACCAGAATCAAAGAGATAGGTGTGAATGCTAATTTAATCGCGGAACATTGGCTTCTTGTCTGATCGTGTCAATCATTCACTCTTGAATAGTTCTTCTGTGGCAGATAAGGGACTGACATAATACTTATAACGAAATCAATGTTTCGCTGGGTTCTAACATGAACAGTAAAATGACAGTCGCAATCAAGTATTACTGACAATGTTGTGCGTTCACACCCTGATTAGTGGACAAAATGTAGTCATAAGCCTTTATTCGACTGATGAAAAACGAGTAGAGGAATAAGAAAAGTAAACCTTTATTATACGTCCAGTAGTTTGAAAAGGTTGGTGTAAAATATGCGTTGAAGATGCATCAGGTGTACGTGCTATCCAATCCTCCCATGATATACCGGAAGAATGTTTCAGGTTCAGCTAGTTCAGAAGGACAAAGAAGACGATAAGACCTGGTAAAGAAAGAGGTAGTGGTGCGGTGGGGCTTCATAAGCACAACAGCTCTTACATCATCCCTATTAGTCGATGTGATTCAAATACAAGTCAGCATGTTTCACAATATAATCATTCCCGACATAATTGGTGGGCAGGGCAAACCCGTCTGAGAGGGGCATACAGCTATTTCTTATCTCTTTAAAGGCTACTGCAAACTCTCCAGGTATTTCGCGATTCTGTTACGCAAAGAACGATTCCCCCAGCTAAAAATGGTCCACCAATCTGGTCACCAATTAGAACGTAGACGTCCAAATGTTTCAACCGCTCAACAGTGGTCCTAAATACGATCGCTAAATAGCGCAGGCTGAATCATGGACAGCTTCCAAACTATTCGAAACCTGTCTGGCTTCGTTGGCCTAACTGACCAATATATCAAACTAGAAAGAGATGTTCAAGCATTATTGTGATGAACAGCAGTGGGTTTAAACTCCTCGTTTACGTTATTGATTCTTCGGCATTATTCATCAGATGCCAGTTGTCTATCAAAGCATGTTCACAAATCACTGTCAGGGTCGGCAAATGGTGAATCGAATGATGGCAAAAATAGGATAAAGCTGAATGATCCACAGAGTCTAAATGCGTTACAGTTTGCCTCCAATTCGCCAAAGTCTACATAGACAGGGACATGTGAGTACAGGTTGCGTCGCGAAATTTGATTCTGGAGCTACCATACTCTAGGACGAAGGAACATAGTAATGTTATTTCTATGATATTACGTGTTTCCGTCACAGTAAGATGCGTCTGTTGGATTAAGAAATTGCAATCGGATAATTTTAAAGTTGAAGAAAGATCCGAGTAGAAAATACTTGAAACCGATTGTGTAGTCATCGTTTTCGAAAAAGTTTGGTGACAATCTGTAGATTTATTGCTGGGCAACGTTTCGCTTTTGACACAAAAGCTTCTTCAGGCCAAGTGACTAGGTTCCGAGGTTGATCGAGATTTAAGGCGGAAGGATAACCAATCAGCTAAGTCAAGCTAAATCTCTGTTGGGTGTCAGCCGAGGGATTTTAGTGTGTTAGAGTGGCTGAACAAGTGCTGGGTCGGTGGGGGAACCTACATGTGTTTGGGTCCAGCCTAGGGTCTAGTTCTTCTGGTTCGGTTCATTTGATGGTTCCTCTTGAACTTCGTTTGAACCTTCTGTTAGTCTGTGTGGGTGAGCTAGTGATAAGAAAGTTGTGTAAGACGGATGCTGTGACCTTTGGTCGGTTGGGGTTTCCACCCCTACCCCCCGGTTTTTTCTAATGATCCTAAGTGGACTGACAACCACACCGTCACGTGTCAACTCGGCTTATCTAAGACCGCTTTCCATACACTCGCTAGCTCCACACCCTCGATTCTATTCACGCTGTGATGCTTAGTGATTTCCACCGCCTCAGCTATCAGCCCCCACCGACCCAACACTTGTTCAAGCACCCTAACACACTAAAATCCCTCGGCTGACACCCAACAGAGATTTAGCTTGACTTAGCTGATTGGTTATCCTTCCGCCTTAAATCTCGATCAACCTCGGAACCTAGTCACTTGGCCTGAAGAAGCTTTTGTGTCAAAAGCGAAACGTTGCCCAGCAATAAATCTACCAAACTTTTTCGAAAAAGATCCGGGTAGCTTTGGAAAACGTGTTACAAGTGAATAAAACTCACAAAATAAATCACTGGGACCTACTCAGCACGTCAAGTAATTCAGAAGTATCTCATATGTTTTAGTGAAAAGTTTCACTACTACATTAGGTGATACATTTGGCATGGAAGTGCTGTAGATTACCGGAATTTCTATTCATGTTCTAGCAACCCATTGCACCAATGATGAGTTAGAAGGAACCTCACCCCTCCACACACACACACACACATTTAAAATGGGCACTTTACCCATTATGATTTTTTCTAAGGGAGTAATACTGTGGCTAAAAAACTCGCATACTGGATTTTCAGAATAAACTGAGCCCAAAATGAGGGAAAAAGACAAATATGTTGCCGAAAGGACAATAAGTGGCTATCTTAAAGAATTGCACCCACTTACTGTCACAGTATGTGAAAAAAAGAAGTGGTGTATACGTTATTTAGTTACTGAAATATCCAACTCCCAAAAAGACAATAGGGAGTGTATTTCTGCTTTTGGTGAGTTAAGTCACCTTCTTCTAAGACGTTTAAGGCGTTCACACTACTCATATTCGGTGAACAGGTCGTGACCACATGGTTTGGAACTTAGATGTGAAAGCATAAAACGTAGTAATGTATCGCTTCCTCGAATTCGTTTTGCTACGTCCCAAGATGTAGTTAGAATCTTCAGTTGTCCTCCT